TAGCTGGTGTTTACAGAGCACTTTACAAATCTCTTCCCGTGTGATCCTCACATCAGCCCTGAGAGGTAGGTGCTGAGGAAACTGAGATAGACCGAGGTTAAGTGATTTGCCCAGGGTCATGTAGCTAGTAGTGTCTGAGACTGGCTTTGAACTCGGGTCTTCCTAACGCCAGGCCCAAGGCTCTAGCCACTGCGCCGCCCAGCATGGTAGAGGCAGCATGACTTGATATTTATAGAGTGTGAGACTTAGTATTAGGAGAGCTCAGTCAAACCCTGCCTCAGATATTGGCTGCAGGATCATGGGCGCAGTCAGTTTCCTCATCTGTAAAATGGTCATAACAGTATTTGTGATACCTGCCTCACGGGAAACCCTCACTGCAGGCCTTCAGGCAGAGGCTGGTGGACCACTTGTCACATGGATTGTGGTGTGCTTCTTTTTTTGAGTGGGGCTTGGACTAGATGGCTTCTGAGATTGGAGATTCTGTGATAAAATTTGAGTTATGTAATATAAATGTAAAGAAATCTTAATCCTAATCTGGTTTGCCTTCTGTCTTGCCTGATGTTCAGCTTTCCAGAAAAAAAAACATAGAAAGAGGGAATGCGATGGTAACTCCCTCCTCAAACTTGCTATGAACGTAACTGTGGACTCAGTGGACCTGAGTTCGGATGTGGCCTCAGACACTTACTAGCTTAACTAGTCACTTACCTTCTGTTTGCCTCAGTCTCCTCATCTGTAAAATGGGGATGATAACAGTGCCTACCTCCCAGGGTGATTGTGAGGGTCCAATGAGATAATAGTTGTCAAGCGCTTAGCACAGTGCCTGGCACATAGTAGGTGCTATGTAAGTGTTAGCTATTATTATGTTGCAAACTCTGACTTTGTGTCAATGGGCAGCAATGGATGTATGTTAAGTGCTTTGTAGATACATATTTATTGGCTGGCTGATGCACGTAATGCCTCAGCCATCCTCGGGACTGTGCAGAAAATTGTTATTGCATTGAATCAGTATCATCCACATTTTTGCTGTCTTAATGTTTGTGTTACTGGCACCTATTAAAAGAATTTTTAATTTGTTGGGTTGGCCCTTTATAGCTGTCTTTTCTCAGAAACTACTTGAGAGGAGGTGTATCACATGTTGGCATTTGTAAGGCCTTTTAGAAAATGCCTTTCTCCCCCCCCCCCCCCCCCGGAGCAATTGTCGAGGCGCCCCCAGGCAGGGGAGCAGGGAGGCAGTAGTCAGAGTTGAGGTCAGATTTGTCTCTACCCATTTTCAGCTGAAGCCTCTTAATAGCGTAATAGAAATCTCTGGAAAGTGCTTGCTAGTATGGTGAAACAAGAAAGGTACTAGAACCTGGTACTGCCAGCAGCAGCTTGTGGTCGGTGGTTCCCAAGGAAAGGGGTGCAACACGAACCTGGTTGTCTGATTGATGAGGAGCTGGGCTTTGAACCCAGAAATCTCCACTCCAGGCCCGTCAGTGCACGTCCTGCTCTCCCACACGGCCTCCTAAATGTTGTGAGCAAGGATTCGGCACGGGCTCCTCAGGGCTCCACTGTAGGGCCTTCTAGGGGTGAAGGGAAGAGGATGCTGGGAGGACAAGAACAGTGGGAGTTTAGAGGGATCAGAACTTCTCAGCTCCGACTTTGCCTCCCACACAGTCATCTTCAAGCTGGAAAGGGTGGGGCCGATGTGGGAAGGGGACGTGGGGCCCCGATCTCAGGTTCAAGGACTCTTCTTGGGAGCTGGGAGGAGGCTGTTTCATCTAATCCAGCCTGTGGGAGTCCTTCTCCCGGCTTCCTCTCTGAGATCACCAGTTGGGATCCCGCTCACTGGTTTGTTGTTGTTGTTGTTGTTGTTTTTCTTTTTTTTCCTGGTGTGCTGGCATGTAGTGGTCAATCTGAGCCTTGGCACTTGGATTTCAATGCTGCCTCCCGCGGTCTGCGCCCCCCCCCCCCCCAGCCATTTTTTGTTCCTTCTGCTCCAGAGATCTTTCTCCTTATCAGAGGAAACAAACAACCTCCTTGTCTCCATGATTTGCAGTTGTGGCCATTTTGGGGTATTCTTCTCTCCTTGAAGCTGAGAAAGGCCCCCCCCTTATTATTCTTGGGTTTGCTCACAAGCCTTGATTTGCTTTGAACCCTGTACTTCCTTCTGATGCCCTTGTTCCTGGACCGTGCCATTCTCTTGTCTTCCTCTGTTACCTCTCCCTTTGTACAGAGTGTCTTAAAAAACAATGAAAATGGGTTAATGAGTTGTCTCCTTATTTATTTGTTCATATTAATTTATTTATAGTTTTCAACAATCACTTCCGTTAGCTTTTGAGTTTTAAATTTTTCTTTCCCTCCCTCCCCAAGACAATCTGATAGAGGCTCTACATATACATTCCTATTAAACATATTTTCACATTAGTCATGTTGTAAGGAAGCATTAGAACCAATAGGAGGAAATAAAACAGAAGGAAAAAAAAGAGCAAATAGTGTGCTTCGATCTGCATTCAAACTCTATAGTTCTTTCTCTGGATGTGGATAGCATTTTCCATCACGAAGCCTTTGGAGATGTGTTAGGTCCTTGCATTTCAGGGAAGGGCTAAGTCTATCAAAGTTGGTTGTCACACAGTGTGGCTGTTACTGTGTACAACGTTCTCCTGGTTCTGCTCATTTCATTCAGCATGAGACCATAAAAGTTTTTCCAGGTTTTGCTGAAGTCATCCTGTTCATCATTTCTTATAGCACAATAGTATTCCATCACATTCATATACCACAGCTTGCTCAGCCATTCCCCAGTGTATGGGCATCCCTTCAATTTCTAATTCTTTGCCACCACAGAAAGAGCTGCTATGAATATTTTTGTACACCTGGGTCCTTTTCCCATTTGTGTGATCTCTCTGGGATTCAGGCCTAGGAGTGCTATTGCTGGGTCAAAGGGTATGCACATTTTGATAGCCCTTTGGGCATAGTTCCAAATTGTTCTCAAATGGTTGGATCCACCAACAGTGCATTAGTGTTCCAATTTTTCCACATCTTCAATGAGTTGTCTCTTTATCCACAATTCTCTCTTTTTTTGGGGGGGGAGGTGAGGAGGGAGGCAGTCAGGGTTAAGTGACTTGCCCAGGGTCAAACAGCTAGTTTCTGAGGCTGGATTTGAACTCAGGTCCTCCTGACTCCAGGGCTGCTCTATCCACTGCACCGCCCAGCTGCACCCCACATAGGTCTCTTTAGACTAAGGGTTCTTAACCTGGGATCCACGAGCTTGGGGGATAGGGTTTGTTTTGTTTTTTTACTATTTTGTTAACAATTTGGATAGAAGTGGTTTCCTTTGTAATCCTCTTATTTTATGCATTTATAAACATTGTTGGAAGGGGTCCATAGGCTTCACCAGACTGCCCAAGGAGGTTGTGATACAAAAAAGGTGCACCCTGCTTTCAACAACCAGTCACCAGGTACCTCTTAAAAGCACCTACTATGTTCCACTGTGTTCCATGTTGGAGATACAAGCACAAAAGCAAGATAAACCCTCCCCTTCAAGGGGGGATAATCATAGATAGGTAACTGCAGGATAAATACAAAATACAAAATAAATACACAGTGGTGTGTGTGTGTGTGTGTGTGAGAGAGAGAGAGAGAGAGAGGGAGATAATACCTTGGAGCATCAAGAAAGGCCTCGTGAAGGAGGAAGTGTTTGAACCAAGTTTGGAGAGTTGGAGATTCCACAAAGTAGAACGGAGGAGGGAGAGCATGCCCGGCGTGGGGGAAAGCCTGTGCAAAACCATGGAGGTGGGAGGTGGAGTATTATGTCTGGGGAATAGGAAATGGGGCTAATGTGTAATCTGCCTGGAAAGGTGGAGCAGAGCCAGATTGGGAAGGGCTTCTAGTGCACAGGGGAGGAGCTTGAATTTCATCCTGGAGACAGTGAGGAGCCCCTTAAGTTTCTTGAGCAGAGGAGTGATGTGATCACACCTTCTCTTCACGACAGTCCAGCTGTGGGGAGGACTGACCGGAGAAGTGAGAGACTGGATACAGGGCCCAGTTAGGAAGCAGCAGCTGAGAGGTGATGAGGGCCTGGTCTAGGGTGGTTGTGATGGGAGGAGACAGAAGGGGAGGAAGCAGAATTGTCAGTACTTGGCCATTGATTGGATGTGGAGGGAGGAGGAGGATTCCTAGGTTGCAAGCCAAGGTGATCAGGAGAGAAATAGAAGGAATTCTGATTTGAAATACTTCTTACTGCCTTTTGACCACATTCTTTCCTTCCCTTGTGATGATAAAAACAACAGTCTATGATAGCTTGATGCCTTGTCTGACTGGCTATGACTGCGGCATTTTGTCCTCCCAGCTGGCCCATTCTGTCGTGTGGGAAGGTTGGGGTTTTGTTTTCTCCTCCGTCAGACCATCACTGGCTCGGCCACGACTTGGAGTTGTAGCTCCCTTTGCGTGATCTTTGCGTTTCCACCTGTGTTGTCAGTGACTAGGCGCCAGGCTCAGCTGTGTTTTCTTTTCCCCTGAATCTGTTCACGTGAATCTTCCCACGTTTCTCCGGATTCCTCAGTTGTTGTCTGTTACTGCTCAGTAATATCTCATTTTAGTCTCATTCTGTGATTTCTCCAGCCTTTCTACACTAAGTACACATCCTACTCTGTGCCCAGCCCTTTGTGAGGGCAGAGAGTTTTGACGGCACGTTTTGGTCTCTTGGGGACCTTCACTTTCCCCTCCGCCAGTGGGATTGCTCCGTCATGGCATACGCGGTTTAATCCTCTTTCTTGCGTGATCCCTAGTTGGAGTCCTGAGTCATCGGACTCCATGGCAGCTCCACCAGAGCCCATCAGCGTGCCAGCCCTGCTCGTCCTCGGCATCGCTGACTTCTCCAGTCTTTTCTCATCTTTTCCTGTTTGCAAACAGTGAGTCGTAACTTGAGAGTTCTTTTCAAAATGTTCACTTTCTTACTCGGAGTGATTTGGCCTATTTTTCACGTGGTCACTTACAGATTGCATTCTTCTTTGGGAATGTTTTCAGTGTTTGGCATGTGTGGAGGTTAGGGTTGCAGTGGGCCACAGCTGGGTGAGGATGTACACCTGGAGCTCAGGGGAGCCATCACAGACAGCAGCTCACCCTTTACTTCTTCATCAGTTTTCTCTTGGTGTCCTTGAATTTCATTCTGGAGACCCCTCCTACTTCCTGGACTGACTTTTCCTGTAAAATGTGAGTGCCTGGGATCCTACCTGGACTTCAGTCATTGGTCATTTACTGAGTCCTTGCTACTGTGCCTAGCACCGTGCTGGGGCAGTGAATGCAAAGATAAGAATGTGGTAGTTCCTTCCCTCCAAGAGCTTCCATTCAGTGGCGGGGGGGAGAAGAGAGACGTTTACACACGTAAGTAAATTCAGAGTAGATAGTTACTTGGGAAGGTGGGGGAGGATCGTGAAAGGCCTCATGAAGGAAGGAGGTGGTGCTTGATCTGAACTTTGAAGGAAGCTAAGGCTTCATCTCAGAGATAAGGTGAGAAGGGGGTGCATTCTAGACTTGGAGGAGAGCCTGTGCACAGGTGTGGAAGTGGGAGAGGTGGTATTGTGTGAACACCACCAAGTCGTCCTGTCTTCATTGGCAGCTGTGTGGAGCAGGGGTGGAGAAGAGAGGGAGAGACTGGAAGGAGGCCCATCTAAAAGTTGTCACAGCGGTGCTGGTGACAGAGGGGATGAGCGTCTTCCCTAGGGACGGCGGCTGTGGGAGTAGAGAGGACAGATGCTCGTGAAAGCTTCTGATTGGACAGGGGTGGGGGGAAGGCTTGACGGGGACTGGCTCCACGGTGCATGGCCCACCATGCCTACCTCTCCTCTCCTTTTCTTTTTTTTTTCCCTACTTTTTAATACAGGTAGAACATTGAATGGTTCCTTCACAGCCAAACCAGGAGGCAGGGACTGTTTAAGTTTCTCTGCCTTCTCTTTGTCTGCGATGACCAGTGTGTACAGGTACCTGCTGCAGCGAACCTTAAACTTCGCATTGCCCTTGTTTTTCTTGATCTTGACAGATTTGGCATCTTTTCGCCTGGCTGTGAGCGGGAAGTCTTTTATTTCCTCGATTTTTCGGGGCATAGCGGTGGCGGGATGAGGGCGTGTGGCCCAAGAGGTCGCACCACAGAAGAGATACTCACAACTGCCCTCTCTTCTCCTCTTCTTTCACAGGCCTTGGCAGGGAATGGTCCCTTTGCCTTTGAGGTTTTTCACCTCACTTTACCTCAGCAACGAGTTCCTCCTGGTTGGGTGCCAGCCCCCTTTTGGATCCCTCCACCTTTTGGAGGATGACATTAAGGCAAGTCTGAATTATCAGAGACTCTGCCCCCACCCCCCCCCCCGGGTTCTCTGGGTAGGGGCCCTGACCTCGCTTCTTGCTTTATTGAGAACATGGAGGGCGGCCATCTCCTTGCCTCCTTGGTGCTCCCCTCCATTCTCACTCATCCTCCCTTTTATTTTAGTTCTGGAGGAGGCGTCAGCTCACTCCCTCTGAGATCAATTCCTCTGCTGCTCTCAGTCGCGTTTTTTCCGAGGAGCTTGCCCCATCCACGGTTACGCCCTCTCGTCTTCGTTTTCTCCCTGTCCCTTGGCTCTTTCCCTGTTGTGTACAAACGTGCTGACCCAGATCCCCCCCCTTGGAGAGCCTCCACTTGGTTCTGCGACTGTCTCCTCCTTTCACTGCCAGACTCCAAAAGAATCGTCTGTTCCCGCTGCCTCCACTGCTTCACTACTCACTTCTCAAACACTTCCGATCTGGCTTGTGGTCCCTGGACACTCTTCTCTTCCTGGGTACCCACAGCCTTCCAGCTGCCAAATTCAAAGGCTTTTTCTTCTGGTCCTTGTTCCGCCTGACCTCTGAAGCTTCTGATACCAGTGACCTTCCCTTTCTCCTACACGTGTGTTTTTGGTTTTTTTTTTTCCTGGTGGGGCAGTCTGGGTTAAGTGACTTGCCCAGGGTCACACGGCTAGTAAGTGTCAAGTGTCTGAGGCCGGATTTGAACTCAGATCCCGCTGACTCCAGAGCCTGTGCTCTGTTACATACTCTTTCCCTTTGGCTTGTATGACACTGTTCTCTTCTAGTTTTGCGATTTCACGCCTCCTGTCTGTTCCAGGCTTTCCTTTGTTGTGACTTCAGGTAAGACTCAGCCTGGCTCTTAGCCTCTCTTTGCCCATCCTTGATGGAGAGGATGATTCTTCTCCGTTTCCCAAGGCACAGTGCCCAGCACTTAATGAAAGCTTAATATGCGGTTGTTGCTTGATAGACGGGAAGGGAGGGGAAGCAGATGTTTCCTGAGGTTTCAGGCCTGGGAGACTGGAAGGATGGAGGTATCACTGACAGAAATGGGACCACTGGATTCCCAGTGTTGGAAAGAGGAGGCAGTTTGTGAGAGAGGCGATGAGGCAGTTTTGGACATTTTAAAAAATTTTAATTTAATATTTCTCCCATTGATAGAATTTTTTTTTTTTTTTTTTTTTTGGTGAGGCAGTTGGGGTTAAGTGACTTCCCTAGGGTCACACAGTTAGTAAGTGTTGTGTCTGAGGCCAGATTTGAACTCAGGTCCTCCTGACTCCAGGGCCGGTGCTCTATCCACTGCACCACTACACTGCTCCCTGATAGAAGAAATCTTTTTTCTCTCTTTTCCTCTCCCCCTTATTGAAAAAACAGAAAACAAAAGAAAAACAAAACCTTGGCAATATATGTGTGTGGGTCAGTCACAAATTCCTACATTGGTCACGTCCAGAAAGTTTAAGCCCCAGTCTCCTCGCTGTGTCTATCAACCCTCTGCAGGGGTGGGATGTGTCTCTGGATGGAATTGTGCTTGGTCATCACGTCTGCCACACCGGGCAAGTCTTTCCGAGTCATGTGTCCTTGTAGTGTGGCTGCTGTATACACTCATCCCTCTCCTGATTCTCTTCATTTCGTTTTGTTGAATCAGTTCATACAGGTTTTCTCAGGTTTCTCTGAGACCATTCCTTTCATCATGTCTTACCACCCAACAGTATTTGGAGGCACGTTGCTGGGTTTGCAGCGGTATAATCTGATGGGAAATTGTAAGCCTAGGTACTCACCAGAGGGAACAATTTAAGGGTGAAGATGCAGTGGTGGAGGACTCCCCAGCTTCACGGAGGGAAGCAATTTATAAGAATTTGCCTTTCTTTGAATCAGGATCTTGAAGTCTCTTAGTTCATTCCCAACTGAAAACTGTAACAGTTCTGTTAAAAAAAAATTGTAAAAAGTCACACTTTGTTTTCTGTGTATCAGACTGAATGGGAATGAACACCAGCAAGGACTTCCGTAAGGCCCAGAGGGAATCAGGTCAGAGTGCAGCTGACCTGTGTTTCCTAAGACTGGTAAAATGAAGTATAATCATAGCATTCTGGGAAATGGCATTTCACTCGGGTTGTCTCTCTGCTCTCCCTCATAGCCTTCTGGAGTTGGAAGGGATTTTAGCAATCCAAGAATCTACCCTCCCACCCAGCGTGGTAGTGGCTTGTATAACCTCCCTGACAGGTGGTCTTCCAGCCAAACTGGGTAGATTTCCTTTGAGCAATTATGCCAAACTCAGAAAATGTTTACATAGAATATTCATTTGGGAGTTGAAGAAATGAAACCCTTGTGGGAGGTGACATTACAAATCTCCAAATCTGTTGATAGAACTTCTTATCTCTGTTCTGAAGGATAGCATGTTAAAAACGCTAGGGTTGGGAGGCGCCCCAGAACATTGAGTCATAGCTCACATTGATGTGGTGCTTGGAAGTTTTTAACGTGCTTTTAACGGCATTATCTTACTTGAGCCTACACCCCTGGGAGGTAGGTGCAATTATTATCCCTGTTTGCAGATCAAGAAACTGAGGTTCACAAAGGTAATGACTTGTCCTCGGTCCCACAGAGAGGTAAGTGTAACGTTCTCATTTGGTAGGGGGGAGGACGACCCACTTGGCTTCTGTGTAGTTTTAGAGAGGTGGGTCAGCCTGCTGGGTGGGTAGGAATGTGATCGTATCACCCCATTTGTCGGGACAAGGATTTCCGATCAGTCAGTCACGTCACATTTATTAAGCACCTCCTATGTTATGTACCAGGCCATGTACTAAGCACTAGGGATACAGAGAGGCAAAGCAGCCTGGACCCTGCTCTCAAGGTGCTCCCAGTCTAACGGGCGAGACGACACCCATCCAGCTTTGTGCAGGATAAGTTGGGGAAGGCGTCTAGATGAAGGAAGACTGGGCAGGACTCCTCATAGCAGGTGGGACGTCAGCTGAGACTGAAGGAAGCCAGGAGGTGGAGACTGGGAGGGTGAGAGTTCATGCCAGGTATGGGGGCCGGCCAGCGAAGGCACGTGAGGTCAGGAACTGGAGTGCCTCGTTTGAGGCTCATCGAGGAAGCCTGAGGATGTGGAAGGGAGTAGGGATATTCAGAACAAGAGCCCGGTCATTGCAGAATGGCTCCTTATGCTGATACTGATCAAGGTAGTACATGTGTTCTCATTTTACAAATGAGGAAACTGAGGCTCAGAGCATTCAGGTGACTTGTGTAAGGTCCCATGACCAGTGAGTGTCACATCTGGTGTGGAAATCCTTGTGAATCACCTGTCTTATTCTGTATGTAGTGTCGTCTGTACTACCTTTGTTGGTAGGCGCAGCCATCCTTAGCCGGGGTCTGGGTCTGCACAGCTGGAGGAGTCTTCCCCACCCCCAGCCCCAATAGACTAGTTAGTGTCACTTTCCCTTGGCCTCTGCAGCTGATGCCTCCCCAGTGGGGCAGCCCCATTGCTTGCTCTGACCTTAGCTCGCTCTTGCCTTTTTTTCTGGCCTGGGGGAATTGCCAGACTGCTGAGAGTGTGAATTGGTTACTTCTGGCTTTCAGGTTGGGCCTGGCCATCCTGCCCCACCTTTTCCAGTTGGCAATGCTGAGTGCTTCCTCCTGACCAAATGAATGTTTCTCCCAAATTCTGTCTGCCCGGTGGAAGCCCCTGGAATGAATCCGTCCCAAGACTGAGAAATCTGATCATCCCATGATTTTAGCTTGTGATTGCCGTGATTGCCGTGATTCTGTGACTCTGGTAGTCTTGGAGTCATCTCTCATTTGGCATCTGAGGTGCAGCTAGATGGCACAGGGAATAGGGTAGGGTCAAGGAGATGTGAGTTCAAATTCACCTTCAGACACCTACTAGCTGTGTGACCCTGGGCAAGTCATTTATCTTCTGTCTCAATTTCCCCAGTTGTAAAATGGGTTTAATAAAATGGGTATGATCCTAATACTCCTAGGCTTGTGATGAGGATCAAATGAAATAATGAATGGAAAGAACTTAGCACAGTGCCTGGCACATAAGAAGCACTATAGAAGTGTTAGCTATTACTTCTTATTGTTATTGTTAGCCTCCTCATCTTCATCATCATCACCATCATCATCATCATCTAAGAGGCTTTGCAGTCTGGCTCCACCCCCTGTTTCCAGGTTGATTACATAGTTCTCCCCCTGACTAGGTGTTTGTAGAAGACTTGAGCTTTCAGCCCATCTCCAGTACTTACTAACATGGCATCATGAGGATGGATTCTTCTTGGGTAAATGAGAGCTTCTGCCATGGGGCCTGTGAGGAAAGTGTCCTGTACGTGGTTCGGGGCTGAGGAGGGGCTCTCCTCTCCTCGGAAGACATTAGATGTGGCTGAGTCTAGGAACAGTGGGTGGAGGCTGCCAGGAGGCAAATTGAAAATTTAGACTTGGTTCAGAAAAAGTTTCTTAACATTCAGAGCATCCAGAAATGGCCTGGGCAGCCTGGCCTTGGTGCGGTTGCTGGAGGGCTTCGAACAAAGGTCAGGGTGCGCTTACTGGGCACGTCGGAAGGGGGATTCTTGTTCTTGTCAGGTTTGGCCGCTTTGGTCGCCTCCAGTCCTGAGGGCCAGGAGCCAAGGGGTGCTGTCCAGGAGAGATGTGTTCTTTCTTGTTCTTGTAGTGGTGTAGGAGGAGCCAGCTGGTATGGAGCAGGCATTGGAGAAATTTGGCGATTAATGGCAAAGAGAGAGAATGGGGGCTTTGAGAGCCCACAGGGTCAGTGACAGGTGCTGCTTTTTTTCCCTTAAAG